TACTTTCTACTTCTCACATGTTGAACCCAAATACCTGTACTTTCTACTTCTTACATGTTGAACCCAAATACCTGTACTTTCTACTTCTCACATGTTGAACCCAAATACCTGTACTTTCTACTTCTTACATTTCCCAAACAGGCTGGTTCCTTTAGTCTGAATGTGTGTCTGGTGGCGTGATCATTATTCTTTAGAGTCATTGCGTGCCTATTGATTTGAACACGATCCGTGTATCCATCATTTCCTGGTCTTCTCTAAAGAAGAGGGACCAATGAAAACGTTGTCATGTTGCCGTTGTTCAGCATGGAAACATTCATTAGCTAACAATGACATTATTGTTCTATTAATATAAAGGGAGGTCAGGTACTCTTTAAAACAGCTGCTAGTTATGGGTACTTTTTACTCAAGTACATTTCAAAGCCCTCTTTACTTTGACTTGAGTAAAGAAGTTTAGTCAGTACTTCTACTTTCACCAGAGTATTTTTAAACACGAGTATCTGTACTTCTACTTGAGTAAAGGATGTGTGTACTTCTACTTGAGTAAAGGATGTGTGTACTTCTCCTTGAGTAAAGGATGTGTGTACTTGTACCACCTGTGCGTTCCCCCAGATTCACAATATAAAGGCATTTGATGAGAGAAATGAGAACGCGGGCAAACTAGCGTCGACCTCGTGATACCATAGACCTTTTTTATTGATATTTTTTTTCAGTTTTCACAACAGCAGCAGTGCTTTTTTTGTGCTCCAAACAGGTTGGATTTCATCCTTCGGAGCAGTGCATCGCCCATGTGTGCAGAAGCGTTTTACAGCAGAATGAAATGCAACTTCCTCTGGATTGACAGACGGTACTGTACACAGAGAGGCTCTCCATCAGAGAGTCTTTTGGCTCAAACATCCAACATGGCGCCAGGAAGGAACGCTGAAGAACACTCACACAGCAGCAGGACTTCCTGTCTTTTGTTTTTGTAGCAGCGTTTTGAATTCCCAGACAGTTTTTCCCTTTTAATTTTGATAACAAATGCATGTTGTTTTTGTCGGATATTTTGGTCAATAAGCTTTTATTTCGCTTTCTTGCTGAGACGTACGACTTTACACACCGAGGGCGTCTTTATTTGTGCAAAATCAAACTCAAACTGTTGCTTTAGTAATAAATGCTTTCAATATTACACTGCTAACATTTGTTGTAATGTGTTTTTGGAGCTTCCACATAATAAATAAAAGCATCAACCAATGACGTTGTGCATAAAGATTGTATTTATAAGGATTTTAAAACAACAACGCCAACGTTATGTAGTCCAAACTAAGACAGAACATGTATTTACTTCCTTCAACCGTGACAAGGGAAATCAGATCCACTTCCTTTATAGCTTTTCACAATAAAAGCTCTAGACATTTAATCCTCACAAACACCTAATGTTCTTATTGTTTATTTGATACGCTCCAGGTGTGTAAAGGCTTTCAGATTCATGATTTATACCACTCAGTATGTTAAGTATAATATGCTAGAGCTAGCAGGCGGTTAGCTTAGCTTTGCTTAGTTTAGATCAAATGAGCTTAGTTTAGCTTAGCATTAAAATTGGAAACAGGGAACAATAACTAACCTCGCTCTGTCCAAAGTTTGAAACGTGTCGCTAAACCATTACGAAGCTCAAAAAAGGAACTAATTTGTTTAATTCGTGCAGAATTTGAACGTGAAATCAAATGTTTTTGTTTGGTTTTGCGTTGAGTTACAACCCAGTCTCACGGCATTTCGTGACTACGAAATGCCGTGAGACTGGGTTGGGAGTTACGTGGTGTAACTTCACTCGTTGTTGTTGTTTACATTTGTTCTAAAGTGGAGATATGTTTAGGTTACTGACATTTAGAGGTGTTTGCAATTCCATTTCCTTTTTAAAACTTTGTACAGAGTCATGCTAGCTGTTTCCCTTTGTTTCCAGTCTTTATGCTAAGCTAGGATAACCGGCTGTAGCTCCATATGCAAAAAGTAATCATCAATCAGTTTGTTTCCAGGTGTTAAAATTGTTTAAAATGTTTTAATAGCCACATAAAGCTTGTAATGTCTCCTAAGGGAGTCTATGATAAACATTCTCTATTGATGTCAGCAGCTGAGTTGCATTATGGGAAATGTAGGCGCCAGAGATATAAGAGTAGTATCCATTGTCACATATATTTCTCAGCAAGAAAGCGAATAAACTTAATTTCCAAAATGATTCCTATAAATGAACGGGACAGGGTTCCTACAGGTTCTTTTCCAACCTTATTTTTGAGATTTCTGAATTTCTTTAGAGAAAATTACAATACAGGGTCATAGCCAGCAATCCCATACCTTTCAAAACCGTATTCCCTCTATATTAACGTAATTTTTTCAACATTTAAATAGTATTTTTTGTAATTGTATTGCCTTACATGATAGACAAATGCTTTCTCCTCAATGGCAAGGTAGGCAAAGAACTGTAAAACTCTTAAATTTAACACATTTTTTGGCGTAAAAACAAATGAAAATCCAATTATGTTGATGCTAATTGCTAAATGGTAATCTTTACTCACCATTTGTGTATCATTTCAGGTTGTAAAGCTCCCACATTTCAAGATATTACACCAACAACTTGACCCAGTATAACCCTGAAGAGTTCTTTGTGTTTTGTTGGTTGTTTTTTTAACGTCTTTTCCTGAAAACCTGTAAGCAAAGTGACTTTTTACAGTGTGATTCATCCCCCTGAACATATTCCTTTTTACGGATCAGCAGCAGCTAAAGCTTGACATTTAGCCGGTTTGATGGGAGGATAAATGCTGGGTTTGATCAGAATACCATGACATTTTCCCAGGCGTTTTAAACATAAAAATAAATAAGAAATGGCCGTAGGAACCCTGTCCCTCTGGATTTGGAGTTGCATTTGTTTAGCCTGACATGAAATGGAACATCAAAGCTAATATTAACAATTAAAAAATCCTTAACGAGAGGTCTGGTAGATCTGTTTCACAATACTGGCTCTTCATTCCCTCACTATTTTACAGTTTTCACTGAGCAACATTCACACAGATGCACATGGATTTACACTCAGTTTGGAGCCTTGTTTAAAGTCAACTGAAGCTGATCCACAGAAAACATAATCCCTTATTATTATTTTTGATTAATCGATTAATCCTTGCAAAGAAATGTCAGAAAATGCTGTTTTTAAGTGAGATTTTGCTGCTTTTTCTGTTTTATATCATATTAAAGTGACTCTCTTTGGGTTTTGCATTGACAAAACAAGACAATTAATGCCTTTTTTATATTTTCTGACATTTTATACCAATCATTTGGATTAATCCATTAGCAAAATAACCATTTAACAAAAAAACAAAATGAAAACACAAACACTGGCCAAACCTGTGTGTCTTTCTCAAACTGAAATCCTCTCGTTTCCATCGAGGCCAGGCACATCTGAGGAACAAAAACTCGTTGTAGGCACCAGAACTTCCCCTTATTGAGACGGGGAAACAAACACACATCTTATTTTTTGCCCGTGGGGCTCGTTGTTAGCTTAGCGCTAATCTGTTTGTGCTTACAAGCCAACGACTGTTGACTGTCAAACTCATTATGGCAAAGAGAGTCTATGGGCTTCCTCCATTAGCAACATTAGCATCTGCAATGCTTCACAGCGAGGTCAAACATCCACCTGCAGCGTCACAATGTTAGTATTTTAATCCAATGGTGCCATCGGAGGCAGGTCGATCCATTGTAGATGTCGGCGTCCTCAGGGGAAAATACTGTATTATGGGAATGGGAATGGGACGTCAACAACAACAAGGCGGCCATCTTTGAAGATACTAGCGAATGCAACGTGTACAGCGAGCGGAGGAGGCGTCATCTTTTTATTTAAACGTAAACATGGTCGCTAGCAGAGGTGGAAGAAGTACTTGGAGTAAAAGTAGTAGTACTCAGATCTTGTACTTGAGTTAAAGTAGAAGTACTCAGGTCTTGTACTTGAGTAAAAGTAGAAGTACTCAGATCTTCTACTTGAGTAAAAGTAGAAGTACTTAGATCTTGGAGTAAAAGTAGAAGTACTCAGATCTTGTACTTGAGTAAAAGTAGAAATACTCAGATCTTCTACTTGAGTAAAAGTAGAAATACTCAGATCTTGGAGTAAAAGTAGAAGTACTCAGATCTTGTACTTGAGTCAAAGTAGAAGTACTCAGGTCTTGTACTTGAGTAAAAGTAGAAGTACTCAGATCTTGTACTTGAGTAAAAGTAGAAGTACTCAGATCTTGCACTTGAGTAAAGTAGAAGTACTCAGCTCTTGTACTTGAGTAAAAGTAGAAGTACTCAGGTCTTGTACTTGAGTAAAAGTAGAAGTACTCAGGTCTTGTACTTGAGTAAAAGTAGAAGTACTCAGGTCTTCTACTTGACTAAAAGTAGAAGTATTCAGATCTGGTACTTGAGTAAAAGTAGAAGTATTCAGATCTTGCACTTGAGTAAAAGTAGAAGTACCCAGATCTTGCACTTGAGTAAAGTAGAAGTACTCAGCTCTTGTACTTGAGTAAAAGTAGAAGTACTCAGGTCTTGTACTTGAGTAAAAGTAGAAGTACTCAGGTCTTGTACTTGAGTAAAAGTAGAAGTACTCAGGTCTTCTACTTGACTAAAAGTAGAAGTATTCAGATCTGGTACTTGAGTAAAAGTAGAAGTATTCAGATCTTGCACTTGAGTAAAAGTAGAAGTACCCAGATCTTGCACTTGAGTAAAGTAGAAGTACTCAGCTCTTGTACTTGAGTAAAAGTAGAAGTACTCAGGTCTTGTACTTGAGTAAAAGTAGAAGTACTCAGGTCTTGTACTTGAGTAAAAGTAGAAGTACTCAGGTCTTCTACTTGACTAAAAGTAGAAGTATTCAGATCTGGTACTTGAGTAAAAGTAGAAGTATTCAGATCTTGCACTTGAGTAAAAGTAGAAGTACTCAGATCTTGCACTTGAGTAAAGTAGAAGTACTCAGAGTGTAGGAATAGGAACGTGCCATCAATTTAGTTTAATATAATTCACATATCATGTTATAATTTGTCCCACAATTACAAAAGCAACATATAATCTTTAGATAATGTGTGTCAGACACAGATTTTGGCTTTATGTTAGACTTTGACCCCCTTTGAGGTGTATCTGTGCACGAGCAAAAACGGTATTTATATTCCACGCACACTTTATGATTTTTGGATGCAAAACGCTGATATATATTGATCTCTGCTGTAGCTAGAAGCTTTGCTCCAAAGATGGCCGCCATGAATGCACCGCAGTTCCCACACTGAAAAAACTGAAACGTTGACTTCAATTTGTTGACATCATACATTTCATTTCAGCTTCTCTTGGACTTAAACTCCCAAGTTTGTATTTCCACATTACTTTTTTAATGCTATGTTATACAATGCCTTGTCTTTGTAAACTGCTGCAACGCATACATTTCCCAAATTGGATTATCTCATTTCAGTTGTTTTATCCTGAACAACAGAGGGTGGCTGGTTTCACGCCCGGCAGCATCTGAACCGGATCAGTTTGTGGAAAGCGCGTTTAAAGTCCTCGTTGGACATGGTGTAAATGATGGGGTTGATCAGAGAGTTGAGGTATCCCAGCCAGGTGAAGATGTCGAAAAGCCCCGGGTGGAAACAGGAATCACAGGCGGAAACTACCAGGGTGTAGATGAAGAACGGCAGCCAGCACACGATGTACGCGCCCAAAATGATCCCCAAAGTCTTGGTGGCTTTCCTCTCTCTGGCGGCGGAGATTCTCTTCTTTTCCAGCAGCGCGTCGGACACCGTGACCTTCACTTGATTCACAGAAGTGTCGCAGGAAGAGGCGTCGTTTGTCCCGTAGTTTAGAGACGTGCTGGAGGCCACAGATCCAGGAGAATCGGTGATGAGGTGAGCCGACGTGAGTCTCTTTCCGGGCTTTTTGTTGTTGCTCGACTGCTTGAGGATTCGCTTCCTGGCTTCCACGTAGATCCGCCCGTAGAGAGCGATGAGCAGCAGCGTCGGGATGTAAAACGCCCCGAAGGTGGAGTAGATGGTGTAGAAGATGTGGTCCGTGTTGACGTTACAGCTCGTCACCTCCTCCTCCACCTTCACCTGCACAGGAGGAAGAAGAAGGGATCAGATTGTGTACGTAAAGGTCTCCTATCATGCAAAATGCACTTTCTGATGTCTCTTCTACATCAACATGTGTCCCCTCTTCTTCATGTCTCTTCTACATCAACATGTGTCCCCTCTTCTTCATGTCTCTTCTACATCACCATGTGTCCCCTCTTCTCCATGTCTCTTCTACATCAACATGTGTCCCCTCTTCTTCATGTCTCTTCTACATCAACATGTGTCCCCTCTTCTTCACGTCTCTTCTACATCAACATGTGTCCCCTCTTCTTCATGACTCTTCTACATCAGCATGTGTCCCCTCTTCTTCATGTCTCTTCTTCATCAACATGTGTCCCCTCTTCTTCATGTCTCTTCTACATCAACATGTGTCCCCTCTTCTTCATGTCTCTTCTACATCAACATGTGTCCCCTCTTCTTCATGTCTCTTCTACATCAACATGTGTCCCCTCTTCTTCATGTCTCTTCTACATCAGCATGTGTCCCCTCTTCTTCATGTCTCTTCTTCATCAACATGTGTCCCCTCTTCTTCATGTCTCTTCTACATCAACATGTGTCCCCTCTTCTTCATGTCTCTTCTACATCAACATGTGTCCCCTCTTCTTCATGTCTCTTCTACATCAACATGTGTCCCCTCTTCTTCATGTCTCTTCTTCATCAACATGTGTCCCCTCTTCTTCATGTCTCTTCTACATCAACATGTGTCCCCTCTTCTTCATGTCTCTTCTACATCAACATGTGTCCCCTCTTCTTCATGTCTCTTCTTCATCAACATGTGTCCCCTCTTCTTCATGTCTCTTCTTCATCAACATGTGTCCCCTCTTCTTCATGTCTCTTCTACATCAACATGTGTCCCCTCTTCTTCATGACTCTTCTACATCAACATGTGTCCCCTCTTCTTCATGTCTCTTCTTCATCAACATGTGTCCCCTCTTCTTCATGTCTCTTCTACATCAACATGTGTCCCCTCTGTGTAAAGAGACTCTGAAAGTTTCAGGAACAAAGATTCTCTCTCTTTTTGTCCTGATCCATTTTTATAAAAACCTGTCTGAAAATGAGCTGATCAGATTGTGGCCACTTGATGATGTCATAACGATGTTTTGTCTTGTGTAACCATTAGCCATTTATCAGTTTCTCTCAAAGGTCTCCTATCATGCAAAATGCACCTTTTTATGTCTTTTCTACATAACTATGTGTCCCCGGTGTGTCCCCCGGTGTGTCTCCGGTGTGTCAGGAGACTCACAAAGTGTCCGAAAATAAAACCCTCTCTTTTCCTCTGTACCCACATCTCTAAAAACGGGGGAACAACGGAGCTGATCCAGATTTGCTGCCGATATGACTTCATATCGAGTTCAAATGTAAAGCTTCTGACCCAGAATCAGCACTTCAGGGCTGAAATAGATATGAGGGATTTCTAAAAGCCATGATCTGTATGGAATTTTGAGCAAAACACTTCATAGACATGTTTTTTATATATTTGTATATATCTGAGACCAGAGGAGAGAAGTAGTGGAGTACAAATACTTTGTTACTGTACTTAAGTACATTGTTCTGGTATCAGTACTTTACTCCACTACTTATTTTGCTGACGATTTTTTACTTTGACTTTTTACATTTTTAACACAAATACCTGTACTTTCTACTTCTTACATTTTTAACACAAATACCTGTACTTTCTGCTTCTTACATTTTGAACACAAATACCTGTACTTTCTACTTCTTACATTTTGAACACAAATACCTGTACTTTCTACTTCTTACATGTTGAACTCAAATACCTGTACTTTCTACTTCTTACATTTTGAACACAAATACCTGTACTTTCTACTTCTTACATGTTGAACACAAATACCTGTACTTTCTACTTCTTACATGTTGAACTCAAATACCTGTACTTTCTACTTCTTACATGTTGAACACAAATACCTGTACTTTCTACTTCTTACATGTTGAACCCAAATACCTGTACTTTCTACTTCTTACATCTTGAACACAAATACCTGTACTTTCTACTTCTTACATGTTGAACACAAATACCTGTACTTTCTACTTCTCACATTTTCCAAACAGGCTGGTTCCTTTAGTTTGAATGTGTGTTTGGTGGCGTGATCATTATTATTTAGAGTCATTGCGTGCCTATTGATTTGAACACGATCCGTGTATCCATCATTTCCTGGTCTTCGCTAAAGAAGAGGGACCAATGAAAACGTTGTCATGTTGCCGTTGTTCAGCATGGAAACATTCATTAGCTAACAATGACATTATTGTTCTATTAACCTGTTAAGCCCTGAGCCTGTTTTTCAGGTCTCAGGCTCGAAAATGACATTCCCAGAACAAATGACCATATCTTCCCTTCTAAAAGGGTTAAATTAATAATCTTTTTTCTCAAAGTAATGATAAACCTGTGAGTTGGATGTAGAAAAGTCACAATCAATATAGATGTTTTTTTATTTTAAAGAAAATTCAGATTTTACATAGTAAAAAACTGTAAATTATAGTGTCCGTCCAAAAATTATTTTTTACTTATAGTGAAAACTACCCTTGGATGATGGGTTAGTAGACTAAAAGCTTTAGGAATCCAAAGTACAACATATAATAAGTACCCTGTATCAAGATTGATGCAAAACAAGTGACATTTGACCTTTTTAGAGAGGTTTAGCAAAAAGAAACCACTTCTGGGGTCATTTGGGTGGATTTTCCATATCTCTGGCCCCCCTTGGTCGATTTTGATGGTTGACACCTCTTTCTGACCATTAGAGCCAATAGAATCGAAGGGGGAGTCCCCCACACACACACGTTGTGAAGAGAAACGGTGGGGGCTTCGCGCATGTAATTTTGCATCAGAGTGGACCTATCTCTAGCTTTGACATCTGGAAACGGAAAAGCAGTTTTAATGCTCATGGATTATCAGAAATCATTTCAAAGGGACACAGACACATTAGATTAACCTATGGATTAACTTCAGCAGCGTTTTTATCGTTTTAATGCCATCGAAGACCACTTTGGAGAGACTACAGAGCCAAGGTAAAAATGTTAGCATTTTTAGCTACCTAGCGTCACCTCTTTTGATGTCCGTTTTTGCTTATAACGTCGCAAATACGTATAATTCAGTGGTAATGTCGGTGTCAATAGATTCTGTGTCACCTCATGATGTGAATCGATGTGTTGGATGTGGTGAAAAGATAAATAATAAGGTTTTGTGAGTGATTTTCGGTGCAGTAAGGTGTTAGCATTTTTCGCTCGTTGCTAATTCAGAGGCTCAGTGTTAGCATTGTGGGTTTTCTTTTGAAAAAAAAAAAAAAATATCAGTTAGATGAGTTTCTTCCCGTTACATGGATATAAAACATTCATAGTTTTATTAAATGAACATGCCCTCAGACACTGTTTCCTGCAAGATGTTGCGGCAGTGCCCCGGTACCGGGGTCTCTCGGGCTTAACAGGTTAATATAAAGGGAGCTCAGGTACTCTTTAAAACAGCTGCTAGTTATGGGTACTTTTTACTTAAGTCCATTTCAAAGCCCATACTTCTTTACTTTTACTTGAGTAAAGAAGTTTAGTCAGTAGCCTACTTCTACTTTCACCAGAGTATTTTTAAACACGAGTATCTGTACTTCTACTTGAGTAAAGGGTGTGTGTACTTTTGCCATCTCTGATGATAGGACACCTTTAAGGGAATTCTAATTTCTTCCACCTCCGCACTCACCTGGCGCCAGAAGAAAGGAGGCAGGGAGATGGAGATGGCGATGACCCAGGCGGTGGCGATCATCCCGGCCGCTCGCCCCATCGTTCGCTTCTTCGAGTAATCCACAGCGTCTGTAATCGCCCAATATCGATCCAGCGCGATGACGCACAGGTGCAGGATGGAGGCGGTGCAGCAGGTGATGTCCGAGGAC